AGGCAACTTGACTCAGGAGTCTCAGTGGGTTTAGGACTAGTATTTGTATATTTTATTGCTTTGGGATTGGGGGGCCAAGAGGGTTGTGGTGCATTTCATTGCATCTAACGCATTATGTACATACATATACATAAACATGCCGATATACCATTTGTATATACATATGTAGGCAACAACTGAGCTTCCAACAAACACAATCATTAACCGATTGAGTAGGGATAACATTGAACTAATTCAACACTTTCCCACACTCTATGGGCTTCTTCACAGACGGAGTATTTGCAGAGAAACAAAAAATAGATCCTATGCAAGACCCTGTTCGGGAGGAACCTATTCGTTTCATTCGATACCAAAGGAGGTTTCAGTATCCTTACCCAGGCACCTCTCTCACTTTATACTGGAGAAAAAAGAGCGAGCTGAAGAGCTCAATGAAGATCGTACAGCCTTCTCCAAGAGTGTTCAACTTCGTTGACATAAGCATAATTTACCTTAACAACAGCCCGTTCGTGCTGCATTTTCCAGACCGCACAAGAAAGCGAGGCGAATGGGCCTAGTAATGAACGTGGACCAAAATAAATATCTCTTGTCATCAAACAAACAGCTAGCGCATTCCCATCTTTACTCCTTCTATTATCCCTGCAGGTGATTTAAGGATTCTTGCTCCTTAAAGCATGGCTGCCGTAAGAGGCGGTTAAAGCCATATTTTCCAGCGATATTCGGGACTTTTTACCAAAACGACCTAACTGGTTTTCCATCCAAAATTTCTCACTCCCATCATATTCCCCAAAAACTGCATTGGAGAGTACTTTCGCGACTACAAAAACAACACAACATAGTATTATCTATCTTGGAACCAGCATAAATACCAAAAACAACATCAGCTTTAAAATCTCACACACACTTGACAAGAGGCCCTCAAAGACTTTCGACTTTCGGCTTGAGCACTTACCACATATTCGCACATCTACATATAATAATACATGTATTCATAGCACTCAGTTTGTATCTGAATACGTTACAATATCTTCTTGCCTTGCCTTCCAACGAGTATCTCTGCACCCGCCCAATTATATCTCACTCCACCACATGGCTCACCGATTACACGCATATTTCTCTAGAATGCTTCACTCAACTGCGGCGCGCTTGATGCTAGAAGAATAGCAAGAAAAGACCCAAGACAAAATCTGCAAAATATCTGTTTGCTTGCGTTGCTGCTTCATTCCTTCGCTTTATCGGCGTTTTGGTTGCTGCCTTCTCGCCCTTGGGTTTGCTGTGCTGTGGATATTTATGGTGCTTCAGTTGAGCTGGCGCGCAGAGCTTAAGATTTAGATTTCGAGTTTGAATTGATTACGATATCAATTATGTTTGTTTTTGTAGGTGTGCATGATTGCGTGCTTTTCGATACATACACACACATATACACAGACAGCGCAGGCGAATTGCGCTCTCATGCGAACGCCAAGTGAATGGTTGCAAATCACTTCTCTGGAAATTTATATGTACATACACGTGTATATATAGTATATACGAATATTTGTATGTAAAGTGTATTTGTATTTCAGGACAATCGGACACGTTCCATGGCACTTATATTGGTATACACTCGTATACATATTTCAGTCTGCTTGTAAGTTGCGTTGGCATTCTCTTCTGCCTCCCCTGCGTATGCGTTTGTATCCTTTGTTGCCTTTGCGTTGCGGCCGATTGATTGTTTGCACAGATTTATTTATTGTAGTTGAAATTCGGTAAGCGCGCTGGTGGCCGCCTTACCGTGACTTGCAATAATATTCAAGAAAGGCGGGCACTCGGAATGAATTTTAGTTTTATAAATTATAACTGCAGCAAAGGTAATTTGATGAGAGTGGAAAAAATTGGAAGGCGTAATCTTTTAAGAGCAGATTTCTGTACAATTTGGAAGGTTGGTAGATAGCTGCTCAATTAATGGCGGATGGGCTACCATTAGCGCTCCGAATTTGCAATATCTGCTGAGTAACTAATGGACCCCAGGTAGTGCAGTGTCTCTAGACCCATGCTAACATATGGAGCACTAAAAAGAAGGACAACATTAAAGAAAATCTGCTGCATTGAGCCTTTGGAACAGCAGCCGCGAAGAGAACTATCTCAAGCTCCTAGACAGTGCTAACAACCAGCCTTCTAAATGTTCTTGAAAATTGGTTCTAATTGTAAACGGAATATCAGCTTTCCAAAAATTATATCAGAACTCGTATCAATGTTACGGATAAATGGAAACCTTCTGCCGGCTGTATGCCACCCACGCCACTTCTAGCAGGAAATAATGGACGGAGGGTGGGCCCATATCTACTATACCGATGGTTTTAAATGCAAGGCAAGTACAGGAGTAGGGAGCTTCTGGTACAACACCAGTAAACAAGGTTTCTCAAACTCAATGAATACAACTCTGTGTCCCAAGCAGAGATTGTGAGCTTCACACAAGCTGACAAATGGGCTTTACCAGGAAAGTTTTTGGTAGACAGTGAAGCGGCAAGTAAAGCATTTACGAGTAAGTATGTCAGCACAGAGTACAATTGCGAAGGAATATGCAAAGAGGCATTCTTAGAGACTAATCCGAGAAAACACAGGGAATACCCTAGATTAAACAGGTGTATAAGGCAATGAAAAGACGGATGATCTGTATCGCGTTGGCACCTCGGGCGCAGTTGTCACGACACAGCATTCATACTAAGATCTCTCTGTAGAGAGCCGAATTGAGTGTTTGGCTATAAGGAAGCAGCACGTAGTAGATGATTCCTTGCCAATGCCACCAAACACACAGCGAAACTTTCGTGGCCGTCAATCCGGTCTTGCCCACCCTCTAGGCCGCTTCCCCGAACTTTGACCACGACTGTTTGCGCTCGGTGTTATCGTAAGTGACCCATTTGTGATCGCCAGTCACAATCCGCTTCAGAAACGGGTCGATTTTATTGCGATTCCGCAGCGATTCGCAGATAGAAATTCGGTCCATCATTTTTTTTGCGTTAGTTCGTGTGGCACCCAAACATCGAGCTTCTTTTTGCATCCAAGGTTATGCAAATGGTTCCAAATGGTGTTCCGACTTATCTTTTGTTCTTCAACAATTAAATAAGTGCTCACGTGAAGGTCTGTTTCCACTATTTCCATGATTTTATCACAATTTTCACCTCCACAAGTTAGGTAAAGTGAACTCAGCTGAGTGCAGAGCATGCACTAGAGATGATAAAACGCTAGAGCCCTACCACTTTTAGCCTAATGAGACCTCAAATCCATCACGGTACCCTAGAACCAACCTTATGGAGGTGGGTACACGTGGTTGGAAAAAATTCAATAAGTTTATTAAATCGAACGAAATTTTATCAAAGTTTATTCAGGCTATACGTGAAAGCACAATTAGCCTACATTATGGCTTAGGTGCGACCGTTTGCAGTCAAGTCCTCAACCTCGTCTTTCAACCGATCAACCAACATCATTAGACCTTAATATTTTAGCTGCCACATTTCATCGCTACTTTGAAACCATTTGGTGTTGTCAATGAAATTTCCCGTTTGCCTTTTATGAAACCCCTGATGCACTGCAAGGTTCCGTACCAATCGCCGGTGAAAAAGAATTTGTGAAAGATCTTGAAAATCACAGAGAATACGGATACTTGTGTCTCTATACTCTTTCAATTCGACGCTACAGCAACGGCCGTTGAAAGTGAGACCAATTTGCTGGTTTCTAAAAACTTTTAAAGCCTGCTTGGCAAGTCTATTTTTTTTTTTGTTTTGTTCAGCGCTTTTTGCTCACATTGCTGTTTGCCTCTAAGCGATATGCAATTACTCTGCTACAGGTTCGTCAAAAGACGCGACTTCACCAACGCATGAGCTTTCTCGTTGCGGAAAATGTTCTTGTGACCGCTAATATCATGGAAGTATGGAGTTGGCCAGACAGCGAGCTGAGATCCTTCGAACAACGCTTTTGTTATTGTTGATGATAAGACCACAAATGCCACAAATACTATCCGGATGTCCAAGTATGCAGTTGTCCTATTTATCCTATTTCAGTACCACATATGGCAGGAGCTTTAGAAATTTTGCGAATGAAGATGTCTATAGGCAGTTACCATAGCAGGATGTTAAGCAGATCTGTTGGGCATGACTTAATGTAAGCACCCTTGGGCCCTGCATAAGCTGCTCTTTGGACACCATACATATGTTTCCACGGCAAGTAAGTCGTTGGCACTATTGAGTGATTTAGGTTGCAGTGGCAACCGATCTGTGGAGTCGGATTGACTTAGGTCTATCTAAGACCCATTCTAATGCCACAAATACTTCAGGTTTCATTAGCTATCCATTTGATTCTATAATAAGCCTCAACAGATCTATGACTCTGACGTCAACTATTTTCGATAGACCATTTGGCAGTAGGGTCACAAAATTCCGAAACCTCGCCCTAGGTGATCGTCTCCTCCTCTTCATCTTCCTTGCAGCTTGTGCAGCAACTTCTGTAGGCAGCCCCTTGTCTTTCAGCGTGTCGTTCCATCAGATAGTGACCAGTCCGAGCTCTTTTTACTATGGACATCTCAGCTCTTTTTGAGGAGTACATATTTCGTGATCTTATACCATTTCGGCCATGTGCGCTTGGTTTAGCGGCAGGTTGTAATGTCATTGCACCTTGTAGCGGCTTGTTCAAATATGTATTTCTGCAGAAGCAGTCTGCATGCACCAAAAGGCATACCAATACGTGTTTTATCGAGACAAAACTGTCTGGTCGCACCCCGCCTAGCAAGTTCATCCACCTCACAGTTTCCTCCGCTGTCTTTGTAACTAAAGACCCATGTGAGAGACAGCCTACTCTGTTTGGCCATCTCCTGTAGAGATCAGGAAATCAGGGTTGCTAAGACTACACATTATAGTAGCAAAATGTTTGTTTACTTAATAAAAATTAAAACGACTTCATTTGATTAAAATTCAAGTCAACTTTATTTATTTGATTTTTTAATACTGTTATTTCCGAATTTTTTCCAGGTGCAATTGAGAAACCTAGCAGAAAAGAACTCTCTACTAGGTGAGTAATAAGAATTTTTTTTCGAAATGTCTATCACTTTTGTTTATACACACATATATCCATATAACTCTTCTACTGTGATGGCAATAACAAACCGTTACATAGCGCAAGCTGCCTCATTCTTAGGCATAAATGAATTCGATCGCATGCTATTTGGCAAACAGTCATTCCTTGCTCTCTGACATTCTCAGATTTAAGACAGTTTTTTTGTTTTGTTGTTTTTGAATTCTCTTTTCTCCTTTAATGCAACGACAGGTTGATAGAATCCAATGAGATTGCCAAAGCGAAAAATTCCAACATTTTGGATAGAGTGCAAGAAGCACGCCGCACGGGCTGCTTGAATGTTTGAATATTGAAGTATGGGAACAAATATAAACTGGAATGCTGGTGGCAAGAGGAGTCAGTGTTTTTATTGTTGTTTAGCTGTAGTTGTTAAAATGTAAGCCGGAATGTTTATGGCATGAGGTGATACACTATACCGTACGCAGTACCGCTTTTAAGCTTCCACATTATACCTACTTGGTAGAACATTTGGAAAGGTAGGTAATAAAGTCACAATGGTAGATTTTATTCAAGTGCACGCAAAAGAGCTTAATAAATTCTTTTGGCGTATTTTGTGCCGATTATGGAAAGTGGCAATATACTGCTCTCTGCATAATCTCTTGGCCACAGTTAACCATTGAAATCGGTAGACGGCTTATTTCGACGAAAATATTTCCTTCGTCTGAGCAGTCGAGAAGTTCTTTCAAAATCTACAGAATACGGCTGGATGAAGTGTGTGTCTACTTCTTTAATGTAGTTACAGTTACAAGCCTACATCCAATTCCTACTCTTGCGTTTTCGTCACACACCCAGAAAGCGTTGCAACCCTCTTGGGAGTTGTGGGAAGCAGGCAGTGTGGGGTATTCGGTAAGCTTTGGTTGAAGTCTAATTGTTGTTGTGCCCATTCGCTATGGATACAGCAAAAAGCAAGATTCCGATACAACAGCAAGCGGTTGTCTATGTAAAAGGCGACCAAAATCAAGCCTACTCATGTAGAAATTTTCAATGCTGGGTGTGTAATCCATCATATTGACTCCAGCTCGAATGAACAAGAGGATACATCCTTTTGTTTGACGACCTTGGAAAATGTACAATAGACAATGATTAGGGGTTATGCACCTGGAATTTAGCTTTTCGCAATTAGAAGAGTACCACTGCTCAGCTGATTGCAGTCCAAGCTCATGAGGCTCGTAAAGCTGGCTTCACAACTGTCGAAGACTCAGTCACTGACTGACCACGATGTGAACAAAAATGTTATTTATACAGGCAGAGCTAATCGACAGGGATGACGCTTGAGGTTTCTATGAGAAAATATGGCAACTCAGTGAAGGCTTTAGAGCTGGTGCATAATTATGTGAGAGACGAAGAAAGAAGCTATCGATACTGCGCCAATTATCGCATCCCAGAGGTTGCCTGCAACTTTGAAAAATGAGACAAAGTTCTCCTCATATCTACTTCCCGGAAAATTCTTCCTTATCGGACGCATACGCCATACTCAGAACACATCCTTGGATGATTCAGGTCTCTTCGATCCGTGGCTTAGACTATGGGCTGCTTCCTCAACCGTACTATCGAACGTACTATGTCAAGGTCCACCAGCAATTAGCTGATTGTACCATGAGCTTATATTTCATGTCGAAAATAAACTTCCCTTCCGAGGGCCGATCACAATTAGAAAAACAGATTACCATAACTTTGGAAGTTGGTCGAACCAGCACTCGAATTCGCACCTACCGAATGTCAGTACGCAATGCTAACTACTCAGCTATTGGATAGACGAATGAGTTTTATATTCTCTAACTTCTTCAAGTTTCATGATCTTGAATGTTTTTCTTATTATTGTATTTTCAGATATGTTTTTCTTTCTCAAGTTTAGATTAAAAACTCTGTGTAATCCTTTACTGTATTCAACAATACCCGTCCAGCAAATATCAAACCCAAACACACACTCATATAGTACACTTTGAAATGCCACCTTTTCTCAAAACTTACCGAAGAATATAGAAAAAAAAAACTTAATCACTGTTTTTCTGTGAAAGACTTTTATCTAGCTGTCAGGCAAAGCATTGTTTTTTTACGGTAAGTAAAGTTTTGATATTTGAGCAAAGATTTTTTTTTTTCGTCCCGTCAAAGTCCGTAAGTAAATGGACAAAAAAGCAAACGAGAAACGAGCATCAGAAACAACAAAAAACAAGCGAAGAGGACTAACACTTATGTAAGTCGAAAGCAGAAAGTTATGCCGAATGTCCGAGATACTACAAAAAGATATCGAAAGCCATTGTTAGTGATATGGGCCAGTTGATGTTTGATATGCATTTCTGTGTCTGCGTGTGTGTGTGTGTGTGTTTAAGTTGTTACTTGGTTATTCATATTCAGCTGCCTAACTTTGCGTGACTTTATACTCATGTCTATTTCACGTTATATTTATATATATATATGTGTGTGTGTGTGTGATTGTGTGTACACGATATGAAAGCAAGAAGAAAATCGTCCATTAGTTACCATAACTCAATTTGAAGTTTTATTGGGTCATTACCATGCTGCAACGCAACGCAACGCATTGCCGACACAGAAATATATACATTTGTATTTGCTTGTAGTTAGAAATTGTATATAGCCCGTTTATCACAAAGGCATTGTTTTGTGTGTCATGTTTTCACAAGTTTCAGACAAAATGCCCAAGTGTAAAAGAGTATAGAAAATGAAAATAAGAAAACAAAAGAAAACTTTGAAAAAGCTTGTACAAACTGGTGAATTGTAACCCAAATACAATACAAACATATATACATACATATATATACTTTGATATATATATATATAACATGCTTACAAGCATGTGGTTGTATGTACATATATTCATGCATATTTCACGCGGTTGTAAATTTCCAGTTTTCACACTTTTCCATTTTTTATTCACCATAACAGCATATAACAGATTTTTTATTTGCTTTATTTACTTTTGCATTGCTTTTATTTATATGTTTCACATTTTGTTTTGAGTGCGTGAAAATTTTTCAGCCATTAAGCTGGACTACTGCCAAAATATTTAACGCTGGTCAGCACATTGTAAGCACATTAAAAGCCGCATGATTCAATAGTTGGTTAACTGACCGATTTGGGCGTACCTACTTACAAGTATGTTATTGTCTGCGCGTATTTGTGTTTATTTCAAGTTTATACAACATTATTCGGCATAAATCAGCCGCAGTCACATTAGATCTACAATATTTAAGAAAACCTATTTGCCTGATTTTCGTAGTTGTAAACCATTAGCAACAGCTTGGAAGATGTTACTTTTACAAAGGTGTATGTATGTATGTACTGCAATAAATTTTGCTCGAAATAAAAGTTACTCATACGCAGCGGTGTACTTTCAGTGATATGGAAAACGAAATATTCAAGCAATTCATTTTATTTCATCGATTTTACTTTTTTTCCATTTTTTATTTTATTCTATGTTCATGTTATTTTATTTCATTTTATTTAATTTAAATTCATTTCATTTAATTTTATTCTATTTTATATTATAATATTTCATTTTATTTCATTTATTTGAATTGGTTAGCTTTAATTAAATTAAATTTTATTTTATTTAATTGTATGTATATTTCGATTTCTTTTGTTTGATTTAATTTTATTTTTCTAATTATATTTTTTTATTATTATATTTTATTTTACTTCATTTTTTTACATTTTATATAAATTTTTATTTTTTGCACTTTTTTCATGTCTTTCCATTTGTTTTATTTGTTGAGTTTAATTTATTTCTAGATGCTTTTTCAGGTCGTTGTTGTATTGAATTCTTTTTGGGTTTTTTGGTTTATGAAACTGTCCCAGACCATATATTTTTTAAAGATATTGTCAAAATTACAACAACAGTTTTGGATGGTAGAAATTAAAGCTTCTATTTCAGAAACCAGCTCGTTTCCTCATCAGACAACTATTTTCAGACAACTTTTTCGAAATAATTATTAATTAACTAATTTTATTGCGTCTCATTCTATATTAATTTATTTATTTTTTTTTATTTCATTATGTTTTATTTTATTTTATTTTATATTTATTTCATATTTTTTTATTTTATTTAATATAGATTATTTAACTTAACTTATTTTATTTTACTTTATTCTGTTTTACTTAAATTTTTTTTTAATTTTATTTTGTTTATTTTTTATTTTTTTTTAACTTTATTTTATTTTATTTGATTTCATTTTTTGTTTTTATTTTTACCTTCTTTTTTTGCTTTTTATTTTATTATATTTTATTAATTTTTTTCTTTTTTTAATTTAGTTCTTAATATTTTTTTATTTTACTTCAATTTATCGTAATTAATTTTTTTATTTTATTATATTTTAGGTTATGAAAATTTAGTTTATTTTTTTATATTACTTTATTTAATTTTTTATTTTATTTTAATTTTTATTTGTGTCTTATTTTACCTTAATTGATTATTTTATTTTAATTTTTTCAGTTGCTCTTTTTTATTTATTTTATTTTACATTTGTTATACTCGTATACGAAAAGAGACAATTCCACTTGAAATATTAAATTATTTGACATACGCACATATTTCTATGCTTATATTTATTAATTACAAAATATGTAAGCGCAGGGGCAAAGGTATTAAATATTTTAACTCAATTATTGCAAGTATTAAGCTGATTTGTAACGCTGCAATTGAATGATGTGGCATTCAGCAGGAAATACGAATGCAAAATTTCAATGTAACTCGCACTTAATTAATAAAAAATTTTAATTTGTGAGTTTTTTTTTTATTTCATATTTCTTTAACTAGAACTGTTTTTCTTTTTTTTTTTTTTTGAAACTATTTTATTGACTCAAGAAGGTCAATAATTTAGTTACTGGAACAATTTTCACAAAAAGCAAAACTCACTGCATTTTCTTAATTTGTTTTTTATGTGAAAATACTCTAGCACATAGCTATCTATTTATGTAAA